GGCAGTCCTTGGTACTTTCAGCATTCTTCACAACACCACAACTCAAAGCATCACCTCTGCTTCGGTCTTCCTTATTCATTATCCAGCTTTCACATGCATATGACGCGATTGAAAATACCATGGCTTGTGTCAGGCACACCTTAGTCCTCAAGGAGACATTTTTGCTCTTCGGCACTTGAAAGAAGTCCTTTGTAGTTGATTTGCCCAGTCCGATACATCGTCTGGGAGTTCTGGTAGCATAGTGCCTAAGGCACTTGACTGCTAACCAGAAGGCTGGCGGTTCAAACCCACCAGCCACTCCTCAGAAGGAAGGTTGGGCAATCTACTTCTGTAGTGATACTGCCTTGGCAACCCAAGGAGGGCTCGCTATGAGTTGGGTCCGACTCGACGGCACATAACAACAACAACAACATATATCGTCTGATGTCCTGACTGTTGCTTCCATTGGCATGGATTGTAGAACCAAGCTATGTGAAGTCTTTGACAACTTCAATCTTTTCTCCATTTATCGTGATGCTGCTTGTAGGTCCAGTTGTGGGGATTTTTGCTTTCTTTATATTGAGATGTAATCCATACTGCAGACTGTGTTCTTCAATCTTCATCAGTAAATGCTTCAAGTCCTCCTCACTTTCAGCAAGCAAAGTTGTGTCATCAGCATATCATAGGTTGTTAATGATTCTTCCTCCAATCCTGATGCTATGTTCTTCTTCATGTAGTCCAGGTTCTCAGACTATTTGCTCAGTATATGGATTGAATAAATATGGTGAAAGATACAACCCTGACACACTCCCTTTTGATTCTAAACCATGCAGTGTCCTCTTGTTCGGTTTGAACGACAACCTCCTGGTCTATGTACAGGTTCCTCATGAGTACAATGAAGTGCTCTGGAAATTCCCATTCTTCTCAATGTTATCTACAATTTGTTATGATCCACACAATCAAATGCTTTTGCATAGTTGATAAAACACACGTAAACATCTTTCCGGTATTCTTTGCTTTGAGCCAAGATCCATCTGACATCAGCACTGATATTCCCTTGTTCCATGTCTTCTTCTGAATCCAAATTGCATTTCTGGAAGTTCTCTGTCAATATACTGCTGCAACCATTTTTTAATTATCTTCACTAAGATTTTACTTGCATACCACCTCAGAAACACAAGGAGGAGTCTCTATGAGTTGGATCTGACTCGGTGCCAGTGAGTTTGTTTTTTTTTTTTTGGTGGTCTATTAAGTATACAATAGCATTATGAAAAAGTTTGAAGTATTGTGAGAATTACTGAAATGAGACACAGAGATGTGAAGTGAGTATATGCTGTTAGAAAAATAGCACCAATAGACCTGCTCAACACGGGGTTGCCACAAAGCTTCGATTTGTGAAAACCACAGTATTTGAGAAGTGCAGCAAAATGAGATATGCCTGTATTTACCATTGTTGCCCTTTACTCTTGCATACCTCCTAGTGTCTTCCTTTACCTTGGTCATGTTATGCTGACCTTCCCCTTATTGTATATTGCCTTTCCCTTCACCCAAGTTAAGAAGTTCTGCTTGCACCCTGGTTAAAGCATTTGGCTGCTAACCAAAAGGTCAGCAGTTCAAACCCATCAGCTGCTCCACAGAAACAATGACACAGTCTACTTCTGTAAAGATTTTACAGCCTGGAAACCCTATGGGGCTGTTCTACCCTGCCCAATATAGTTGCTATGAATCAGAATCCACTTGATGGCAGTGAGTTTTTCACTCAAGTTAATAAATGTCTACTATGTAGTTATTAAGGAGCTCTGGTGGTACTGTGGTTAAAGCATTGGGCTGCTAACCAAATGGTTAGCAGTTTGAACCTACCAGCTGCTTTGCAGGAGAAAGTTAAGGCAGTCTGTTTCCATAAAGATTGTCTTAGAAACCCTTTCAAACTCACTGCCATAGAGGTGATTCTGACTCATAGTAACCTCCTTTGGGTTTCTGAGACAGTAAATCTTTACAGGAGTAAATTGCCCACTTTTCCTTCTGCAAAGTGGTTGGTGGATTTGAACAGCCAACCTTCTAGTAAGCAGTCAAATGCCTTAGGCACTATGCCACCAGAGCTCCTTTGGAAACCCTATAGAGGTCGCTCTATAGGGGTCACTATGAGTTGGAATCAACTCGATAGCAGTGGATGAGTTATCTAGTTAGCGATTTTCCTTCCCTCTCCCTGTCATCCCTGCTTACCATCAAAGAATGTTTCTTTCTGTGTGTAAACCTTTCCTTGACTTTCTATAATAGTGGTATCATACAGCATTTGCTCTTTTGTGATGGACTTATTTCACTCAGGATAATGTCCTCCAGGTTTATCCATGCTGTGAGATATTTAGTGGATTGTTATTCTTTAACACTGCATAATATTCCATTGTGTGTCTCTGTACCATAGTTTATCTATTCATCCATTTATGGATACTTAAGATTGTTTCCATCTTTTTGCTATTGTGAATAGTGCTGCAATGAATATGGGTGTGCCCAAGTCTTTTAAATTTTTTCTGTCCCACCAGTCATTACACAGGAACAATGATGCAGTCTACTTCTGTGAAGATTTAACAGCCTTGGAAACCCTATGGGGCAATTATTCTGAAGAATTATTCTAATACTAACAGTTTTTTCACTGCACAAGTGACAAAATTAAACGACCACATGGATACATTATGGAGGGCATTTAAAGAAAGATAAATATCATGAACAAATTATGAAGAGAGGTGTGGTTGTTAAGTTTGTGTGTCAACTTGGCTGGGCCTGGTTGAGTGGCTGGGCAGCTGAATGTAGCTATTCCCCACCGTGAGATTGGTAATTAACTCCATGGTGGAATCTATTGGAGCAGCTAAGTAGCTGCTTCAGGGATATAGTCTACTTCTCATATACAAGAAACAACTTTGGGAACAGTCTCTGGCTTATGGCACACTTGAACCCTGCATGTAGCCGAGTTGTTCAGCAGCCTGCCACGCTCTGTCGACCTTGGGACTTTCGGTGGACTTGAATCAATGGGCTGCCATGTGGTCTGGTAACATCAGGACTATGCCTTTTTACTTCTCAGCCTTGGGCTTGTCAGTTTCAACAGCTAGTAGCTGAGTGAAGAAAAGCTTCCAGCTTCAGTGTGCCAGGAGTAGGAGGCAGAGCTGAAGCCAAAGTTGAGGGCCTTTCACCCAGCCCTTAGAGCCTGGCACTTTGAACAAAGCCTCCAACCTGTAAGAGAATAAACTCTTGTTTGTTCAAACCATCCCACTTGTGGTATATTCTTGTCAGAGTGGCACTAGGTAACCAGAACAAGGGGAAATACTGGAAAAAAAATTTTAGTAATGATTTTTTTTCCTTCTACTCTCTAGTATTCTCATAATGAGTATTTGATCATAATTTGTTATAACAAGGTATTAATCATGTTAACTATGAGGACTGAAACAGGCTTGTATCCAGGCAACACAGGATAGAGGATCAAGCAGGGAGAGGCTCAATCTGAGGACAGAGCCAGCACCAAAGAATGGAGTGGCAGTTCTCATTGAGTCTGACTAGGCACTCATCTTACTAACAGGTGGGCTCGAAGTCTCAGAAAGATTAAAGGAGGTAAATGGAGAACAATTTTCTGCCTCAAGCTATGTCCTACAAACAAGCTTCCAGCAGTTTCAGACTCAAATGGTCTTTCCCTATAACCTAGTGATACCTTGCTGCTTCCCCAGCACTCTTTCTCATACACACAGGAGCCATGAATATTAAGTTTGCCATCATGGCTGGCCAGAGGAGGTAATCAGGCAGCTCCATAAAGACTGGATGTTTTGTTCTTATCTGTAACTGGGCAAGTAGCATAGTACCTGACATACTCTAGGCATTCAATAAATACCTCATGATCTCAAAAGCATGGTTTGTTGCCTCTTGCTTCTTCAAAACAGCTTGAAGTCTTTCACAAGAAAAAAACTTTCCTTTTACAATTAGAGGTAAAAAGCTTAAAAATGTAACTTCTTGGAAAAGTTAAATAGAAATGACTATTTTATAAAAAGTACTATCTATTTCCTACTCTGTAGGAAAAAAAAAGTTTAGGATATACCAAGGTAGAAGAGAGCACATGGAAGAACAAATGGGACCAGTGAAGATATTATTTAAATCATAATTCCTGTATCGCTAACCACACAGTGAACTGTACAGGAAGATTTTTATGGGCAACCATGCCAGAAGAGTTAGGCAAAAACTTGTGTTATGAACCAGACAGATTCACAGTGCTTCCCATAATTTTTTAATTAAAAAAAAAAAAAAGTTTTTTAATGTGGGAAAAGACAGCATCTATACACTTAGAAAAAATCCAAACACTAAGAAAAGGTAACTCTCTTGTTTACTTATGATACTTAGCAGCAGCCATGCTTATTATACATAAACTCAGTGCTCTCGAGTCGGACCTGACTCATAACAACCCTTCCTTGGGTTTCTGAGGCAGTATCACTATGGAAGTAGATTGTCCAACCTTCCTTCCAAGGACTGGCTGGTGGGTTTAAACTGCCAGCCTTCTGGTTAGCAGTCAAATGCCTTAGGCACTATGCCACATGTTGTTGTTGTTGTTATGTGCCGTCGAGTCAAACCCGACTCATAGCGACCCCTCCTTGGGTTTCCGAGGCAGTATCACTACGGAAGTAGGATTGCCCAACCTTCCTTCCGAGGAGTGGCTGATGGGTTTGAACCGCCAGCCGTCTGGTTAGCAGGCAAGTGTCTTAGCCACTATGCTACCAGAGCTCCCCTTTATAAAATCATCAATTTCTCTACCAGCATGTACATACATATTCACATACTTTTTAAAAACACAAAATAACATATTTTGTTTTTCAAACAGCTGATTTTATTATAAAGGACCATCATTTAGTGAAAATTAATTCAAAGCTCTGATAGGGTTTCACACTGTTTTAACAATCAGTCACTAGCAGATACAAACATATTGGCAATTTTGTTATTGTACATTGAAAGATAAATCACACTTAAGCCTAAACATGAAAACAACAGACTCATTTATCTTTAAGCTGTTTCTTTTCAGTAGTTTCTTCCATATCAAAAGTGAATGGTTTGTCATAACCCATTAGGTGGTTATAGTCTTCAGGGTTTGGAAAGAGCAATGGATTAACTAATAAAGATTTTGTTTTAGCATAAAACGTGGTAAACATGTGTGTGCTGTCAGGAATCTTCACATCATTCTGGTGAAACACTGTACTTGTTTCTGAAAGCACAACATTGTAAGTGATGGCTTTATAAGTGTCTGTCGTGGCCTCATGGTACAAGCGAATGACATAGCCTTTTGTAACCAAATGCAGCAGTACTGGAGTGATCACTGTAAAGCTTCCTATGATGCCATAAAATAAGATTTGCAAAGGCAGACTTCCAAATATAATATTATTTTGTGCAAAAATGTATGGCAGAAAAGCAAGACTGATTGCGCTTGTAGAATAAGAGAAGCACTTCACACCTAAATAGGAGAAAAAAAAGGAGGGGGTTAATATTTTCACTTTTTATAAAAGAATATATCCTACTAGCTTTTCTACCTTTCTTCTTACTAAATCATCATCAAAACAAGAAAACCAAAACACACAAATATTGCTTATTATATGCAGGTTCTGTTTTAAGTACTTTTCTGATTAATGTTATTCATCAAAAAAAGTTCAGTGAGGCAGATGTATAATTATTTATTAATAATAATAATTATTATTACTATCATACCTGCAGTGTAATAAATTACTTTGTGTGGCTTTTCTACCCATAAGTCTTTGTAAACTCCAAGGTGGGATTTGCTATGAGCAACTGAGGAGCTCCTGATTGCTGAAGGTGTCCACCTGGAGTATTTCTGTTGGGAGTGGCATAAAACAATGTTCTGGGAGGTGCTCACTCTCTCCCAGGTGCTTAGAGTTCTGATGCTGTAATTGGCTAGTTTGACCACCCTGCGGGCTCTAAAGGAGAGCTCCTGGAGGCAGAACTCTCTCTGACTGCTGGTTGAGGAAGATGTGCTGCTGAAAGAGACACGGGCTCCTGAGACACGCGTTGCTGGGAAAGAGATGCAAGAGACATGCATTGCTGAGTGAGACACCGAGGGACCAGCACTGCTGGGAAAGAGACTGTGAGAGACTCTTGGCTGAGGGACGGTGGGCTGGGAGAGAG